GTCCTGAATCCTATTGTTGAGCCTCAAAGAGTCCTGGTTGCCCCCACAAATACCTGGATGCCAAGCTGGGGCTCTCTCGCCCTGACCCCTGCCGCTGAACTGCACTGTGCTTCTCCTCCTCAGTGCGCCCGTCGTCATTCTCCATGGCGATCCGCAGGCGGTACTGCGGGCTTGACTCAATCTCCCGAGCCAACTGGGCTGCACGCAGCTCCCGCTGACGGAACTCTTCGGAGTTGTCCTTTTCTAAGGGCACCCTGAGCAAACACCCATAGACCACCATATCCCATCACCCACCAGGGAACAAAAAAAAAAAGGAAAACATTCCTATCAGTCCCATAACCACTTCAGGCATTCAGACATACGGTACTTAATTCCTTCAATAACAGTTTCTCTTCTGCAGTGCTGGGGATCAGACCTAGGGTCCTATGATGCTAGTTAAGTGCTTCATCACTGAGCCACACACCATCCCAGTCAACAAATATTTAAATGAGTATTTACTGGGTATTAGGCAGAGAATCAAGTTATGTTCAAAATCTTTTTTTCCAGCCCACGTGATTGAACTCTGCCACTAGGCCTTTTTACTTTTAGCCAAGATGTCACAAAGTTTCCCAAACTGGCCTTAAACTTGCCATCATCCCGTCTCACCCTCCTGATGAGCTGGGATAACATGAATGCATCACCATGCCCAGCTAGCATATCCTAAACGTAATGCTTATGTTTTTTATACTCTAGAGAAAAGATATGGGTAGATGAATAAGCAAGTAGCTAGTTCTATACATGGGTGGCCTACAATCAGAATACCTTTCAGGGAGCAGTTCATAAGGCAGCCAGGAAAGGAAAGGGGGAGGGTTACCTAGATACCCAGAAAAGCATGTGTAAAAACTATGTTCCACCTAGAGATCTGCCTTCTGTCGGTGACCCCACAATCCCAACTGTACCTCCTGGAAGTACCAAAATACTCACGTGTAAGAAGAGAGACTACTATCATAGGTGGTCTTTACACCATAGTTCTCCTCATTGAACTTGAACATTTCATTGGGGTCCCATCCATTGGACTAGGGAAGAGAAAGGGAGAATGTTTTAAAACTCAGCAAGAAAAGGAACCTGGTTTTTCCACCTCGTAAAGAACAAAAATATAACCAATCCAAGAATGTACAGGGCTGGTGAAAGCATCAACTAATAATGCCAATTTGTAGCATAAATAGGCAATAACTAATAAAAGTGGAAAGTCCTAACAAATCCATTTCCAGGTTTATGTCCTTGAAAAATTCTAACTTGTATGTATGGAAATACATGTTCTAAGGTCCAGTAAGACACTATTGGGCAAGCAGTACTGGGGCCTGAACTCAGAAATGCTTTAACATAGAGTTAGATCCCTAGTCCTTTTTATTTTGAGACAGGATCTGATTAAGTTGCTGAGGCTAGATTCAAAACTTGAAATTCCCTTGACTAAGCCTACTGAATCACTGGAATTACAGGTATGCACTACCACATTCAAAAAGATGCTATTTTTTTTTTCTTCTTTTCGGTACTAGAAAATTTAGCCCAGGGGCCCTATTTATTTTTTGAGACAGAATCTCGCCACATGGCTTAAGGCCTTGCCAAGTTACTAAGGCTGGCCCTGAACTTGTGACCATCCTGTCTCAGCTTCCCAAGCCACTGGGATTACAGGAGTACACAGCTGTGCCCAGTGAGACACTATTTTTAATAGCAAAATAATGGTAACAAACCAGATAAGTAAAAGAAGAAATACAATTTGTTGTGTATATACACTGATACATGTATATAGTGTTAACAACCAACTAGGGCTGGGGCTCAGCGATAAGGCACTTCCCTGGCATGTGTGAGGCACTGGGTTCAATTCTCAGCACCACATGTAAATAAAATAAAGATCTATCAACCACTAAAAAAAAATACTTAAAAAGAAAAAGCAACCAACTAGACCTGTGTATGAGTATGAAAAGTTCAAATTAAAAAGACTTTTTGTACAAATTAAACATAAATTTTTCAGCCAGAAGATTCTAAAAGTATGAAGGTAGTTGTTTTACAAAGACAAATGGATCTACATTAGTCAATCTCACTTCTACTTTTTGTCATATTGGAAAAAATAATGCCATAAAGCAAAGTTAATCATTGTCAATTACAAAGAGTAAAAGAACTGGTACTTTTGTTTAGCTGTTTTCTATTTTCAAGAATCAACTCCTTGTTCCAACAATGTCACTGTCATCAACCCACACTGTAGCTGCCCGGTTCTCAAGGAAGGAAACTATACCATGTCAGACTCGAGGTCATAATCATCACTGTTGCTGTCACCGCCCTCCCAGCGCTGAAGCACTTTCTCTTTGTGTTCCCCATTCACCTTTGAGTTCATGGCAATGGCTGAGTCAGTGAACTTGTCTGTAGGGGCAGAGTTGAAGATCAGAAGGAGTCAGGTGACATTTGACAGCTTTCTTTCCCCTCCCCTCATAAATAGTTCAGGAACAAAGGTATTCTAACAAACCCAGATTTAGGGTATCTATGCTTATGGGGCATGGAAGGTAGGGCAGAGCATGAAAACCCTGATCTTGATAGTTCAAAAGGAATAGTAATTTGAAAACTAACCAGAGAAAATATGAAGAACCACAACATAGGCCGGAATTTGCCCCACCATATATTAGATATCAAGA